TGGGGGGGGGGGGTGGCAGACGCGACACCATCTTGGCCAGTGGGGTGGACCTGGGGGGCTGGAGGCAGGTCCGGGGGGCTGGAGGCAGGTCCGGGGACCTGCCCCCGAGCACAGACGTTCTGAACAAAGATCGTGTGACTTCGTTCAGTTTGCCCTGAAAGAAGAGAACCTGACACACACACTCATCTTTTGGTGAAGAGGCATTTGAGGTCTGGTTGCAGGAACTTACTTCTGACCTTCACCAGACAGGAACATCTAGTTGTTTTCCAATTGGAAATCACTGCAAGTGCATCAGAGAGCGTGCGCCCCTCCCCCCCTCCCCGCCCCTCCGCGCAGGCTGCTCGGCGTCGCCCTCCCTCCCCACCGCCCTCCCTCCCGGCAGGCGTGTGCACTGCTCGGCCGGGGAGTGCAGGCTTTGGGGCCAGGCTGCTCGGGCTCCTCGTCTTTTTATTTTTTAAAAAATTTTATTTAGTTTTAGAGAGAGGGGAAGAGAGGGAGAAAGGGAGAGAAATACTGCTGTGTGAAAGAAACATCAACCGACTGCCTCTCATAGTGTCCTGACCAAGGACCGAACCTGCAACCCAGGCACGTGCCCTGACCAGGATTCAAACTGGCGACCCTCCGCTTTGGGGGACGATGCCCAGCCCGCTGAGACACACTGGTCAGGGCTTGGGTTCCAAATCTGGCTTTGCCTTCTCCAAGCCTAGTTATCTTGATCAAACTGAACATCTCCGAGAGTTCGAGCCATGACGGAGGGTGGGTAAACCCTGTGCTCACCTCCTCCCCCCACCACATCAAAGTTACAGCTAAACTACAGAACAGCCATCACTCAGAACTGCCGGGAGACTAGGTGACCGGAAGTCCTAGAACTAAGGGAGAAAAGTGACACCCAGGCTGGAAGAAGCCGTAGTGCCGCAGGGTGGGCTGTGGCCTCCAGATAGAAATCAAGAGGGATACCTTGGCTGTGGAGGTCCCAGTGCCCCCTGAGGAGGGAGAGACCCCTGCTCCACACCAGACTCCCCAGCCCAGGGTTCCAGAGCTGGGAAGAGACGTCCCCATAACTTCACATACGGGGAGGAACTGAGGTGTCCGGCACCCAGGAGAGAGCTGGGGGCAGCTTTCCGCCAGACCTAAGTGCTGGCAGAGGCCATTATTCCTTTGCTGAGCCCTCCCCCACCAAACCTGCATGGGCGTGTGGAGGCCGTACCTGAGTGTCTGTCACCCTGGCCAGCCCTGCTTGTCCGGCCTCGGCAAGTCCCTCAGGCGCCCACGATGCCAGGTTTGCACAGTATCCACAAATCAGCGAGTGTGATGTACCACATAAACAAAGTGAAACATAGAAATCATATGATCGTGTCGATAGGAGCAGAAAGAGCATTTGTTCCAATCCGGCACCCATTTATGATGAACAAAACCTCTCAGCAAAGTGAGAATAGAGGGAATATACTTAAACATAATGAAGGCCATATATGAAAAACCTACAGCCAGCATTATACTCAACAGGCAAAAACTGAAAGTGTTTTCCTTAAGAAGAGAAACAAGCCAGGGGTGTCCTCTTTCAACACTTGATTATTCAACATAATACTGGAAGTCCTACGGACAGCAATCAGACAAGAAGGAGAAATAAAAGGCATCCAAATTGAAAAGGGAGAAGTACAACTGTCATCATTTGCAGATGACATGATGCTGTATATAGAAAATCCTAAAGACTCCACCAAAAACTACTAAAACTGATAAATAATTCAGGAAACTAACAGTATACAAAATTAATATTCAGAAATCCATGGCATATTTATACACCAATAATGAACTATCAGAAAGAGAAACTAAGAAAACTATCCAATTTACAATTGCAACAACAACAGAAAAAGGTACCTAGGAATACATTTAACCAAGGAGGTAAGAGACCTGTACTCAGATAATTATAAGATACTGAAGAAAGAAACTGAGGACGCAAATCAGTGGAAGCATATACGGTGTTCATGGGCAGGAAGAATTAACATTATTAAAATGTCAATATTACCCAAAGCAATCTATAGATTCAATGCAATTCCTATCAAAATACCAATGGCATATTTTACGGGACTAGACCAAATATTCCAAACATTTATATGGAACCACAAAACATCCCGAATAGCCTCAGCAATCTTGAGAAAGAAGAACAAAGTTGCAAGCACCGTGCTACCTGATGTCAAACTACACTACAAGGCAACAGTACAAAACAGCCATTAAACAGACAGACAGATCAATGGGACAGAATGGGCAGCCCAGAAATAAATCCACACCTTGACTTTCAATTAATATTTGACAAAAAAAGCAAGAACGTACAATGTGGTAAATACAGTCTATTTAATAAATGTTGTTAGAAAAACTGTATATATGCAAAAAAAAGAATCCCAACTAGACCACCTTGTTACACCATATAAAAGAATAAACTCAAAATGGATCAAAGACTTTAATGTAAGACTTGAAACCATAAAAATCCTAGAAGAAAACATAGGCAGTAAAATCTTGAACATTTCTTGTAGCAGTATTTTTTCTGATGTATCTACTTAGACAAGGAAAACAAAAGAAAAAATAAACAAATGGGACTATATCAAACTAAAAAGTGTTTTCACAGCAAACACTTGTCTTCACAGTGTCTTCATCAACAAAATGAAGACAAGCCACTGAATGGGAAAACATATTTGCCAGTGATACATCTTACAAGGGGTTAATATCCAGAATTTATGAAGAACTTACACAACTTAACACCCAAAAAACAAACAATCCAATTAAAAAATGGGCAGAAAACGCACACAGACACTTCTTTAAAGAGTACATACAGATGGCCAATAGACGTATACAAAGATGTTTAATGTCACTAATCATCAGAGAAATGCAACTTAAAACCATGATGAGCTCTCACCTAATACCTGTCAGAATGGCCATCACCAGTAAATCAATGAGAAACAAGTGTTAGGGAGGCTGTGGAGAGGGGACCGCTGTGCACTGTTGGTGGGAATGCAGATTCGTGCAGCCACTGTGGGAAACAGGGTAGAGTTGCTTCAAAAAACTAAAAATGGAACTGCCTTATGACCCAGTGATTCCAATTCTGGGAATATTCCTGAAGAAACCTACAATGTGTGATTCAAAAGCACACATGCACCTGTATGTTCATTGCAGTGTTATTTCCAACAGCCACGGTCCGGAAGCAGCCCGTGTCCGTCAGGACGTGAGTGGACAAAAGGGCCGTGGCACATTCCCACAATGGAACACGACTCGGCCGGGAAAGAGGGGGTTCCTACCCTTTGTGACAGTGTGGGGGATCTGGAGAGCGTTATGCTCAGTGAAACAGGTTCAGTCAGATAAAGCCTAATACCGTATGATCTCACTTACATGTGGAATCTAATGGACAAAAATTAACAAACACAATAGAAACAGACTCATAGATCAGAGAACAGACTGACCTGTCAGAGAGGAGGGAGGATGGGGGGATGGGCTGGGTGAAATAGGTGAAGGTAATAAGCAAAAAATAAAAACAAAAACAAAAAACACCCAAAACAAAAAACAAAGAAAGAAAAAACATATGAACACATGCTGGACTAGTCACAGCAGGAGGGCTGTGGATGGGAGGAGGCCGAGGGGCGTTGGGGCCCCGGCGCTCTCTGGTACCTTCCAGTAACGCAGCAAAGAACAGCTGCAGTGGGGGGTGGGGGGCCCTGCCCAACGAGGAACAAAGACAGGAAGACGCTGGTTTGAAAACAGGGTAATCCTGGCCCTTTGAGAAAATATTAATAAATGCCACTGGGGAAAAATCATCATCGGACAGAAACAAAATATATTTATTAGAAATATTAGAGTCATACATCATACACTTTCTCTTTTTCGTACACTTTCATGTTAATAGTTAAATACAGCTCTGTTGGCACATGATATCCTGAGAATGCTTGGTACAGTCTGGTGTGCTTTGTACAGAAACAAGGCTACAGATGTATCAATGGCATTCAACTAATGTAGTTAAAATTAGTGAGCTACTCAGGACGGTACAGCCAGACTCCAACCTGGGTCAGAGAAGGGAAACGCCAGGTGAACACAGGCAGCTGAGCTATTAAAAACACTTTTAAAAGGCTGTGAGCTGACACCCTTCACTGCATGTCCTTGGTAGTTCATCTCAGCATGGCACTGAAGCTTTGGAATGGGAAGAGATGCTGCTGGATTTGGCAAACGGGTTTGTATTCACCAACCTGAACCCTGCACCTCCAAGCGCCAAAAGGCCTGCCCCCCCTTGGTGGGGAAGCGGGGGGAGGGGAGACCACGCAGACAACCGCAGACGCTGTTACAGCCAGGCGGCTAATTACTCTGGGAAGTGCACTCTGTGGAGCACCTGCGCATCTACTCTGGACGGTCTCAGCAGAGCTACAGCGCAGCAGCAGAATGAAGAACGGAAACTGAAGGCTAGTGTCGTTTGGGAAGAGAAGAGACGAGGTACGAGACGTGAGAACTTGCCCAGGGAGACAGGGGCCGCGGCAGTAGCCCTGGTCAGCGAAAGCTCAAGGCCCCGAAACAACTCGCGTGCTCAGACCCATGCCTTCTCCTTATGTCCTTTAGAAACTCCACCTTCTGGGTCTTGTACTTTGCACGTCCTTCGCATAAAAACAATACATTTAAAAAAAGCACCTGCAGAACCACCAAATAATTTTAAATGGCTGAGTACTGGCTGAAGGAAGATGGGGAGAAACGTGGCTATCGTAGCGTCTGAAAACCTCAGGACAGAAAACTGGAAAGGATACAATTTGCTACCGCCGCCACCTTTTCTCAGCGATCCGTTTTCCACCTTCCCGGTGTGCTCTGAGCTCTCTAATTGAAAACGGATCTCAAAACCCTGCTCTGTGGCCCAGCCAAGGTTGGGACAGCTTCGCCCTAGCCCTGCAGTGCTGAAGGGCCCCACCTCGCACCCCAGCTGCCTCAGACCCGCGCCCCCCCCCCCAGGACCAAGCAGGGCCACCACCTGTGCTTCTCCTGACAGGACACATGCGTCCTCTCCCCGTACGCCCACCAGCTAAGAAAACGGCAGTAAAGGAACTTCCTTGAATTATAAAAATAAGTTGCTACATGGTCTTCCTTTTGTAGGACATTTCTTTCCCTCTTTTTAACCTGAAGGGAGCAGGCACCAGGCAGGAGGGAGGGGCGGGCCCAGACTGCTGACCCGGAGCTGGTGCAGGATCATTCCTGGCAATCACTAGAAACAGGGCGCCATGCATGCTGAACACCCCTGTGGGCATCCAAGACCCCGTGCAAAAATCTCCCACGTACAAAGCCTTGCAGCCATCCCCGCTCAAACGCAGCCACCAGCAGCCCAACCGCACGCCTTGGCACGCTAGTTTTCCCTGCTGTGATGGTGAGCAACCCAGAAGCACGGGGAAGAGAGTGTTATCAGTCATGTCAACAAAAGATGGGTGCAGGAAGCAGCACAAGCAGTAATTTTTGTGCAGGTACTTCATCGGGAGGGAGTCAGGTGAATTTGCTCAGCCTATGCCTCCAACTTCTCCTCGAACACAGAGGGCCAGTCAGGAAATCTTGGCTCCAGACCACTCAGTGCTCCCTGCGCCTGGCTGCCCCGGTCCGCCCTGCGCACCTCCCTGTGGACCCGGGAACTTGGACAACACCCGGGACACAGCCCTGGTCCCATTCTGGGTACTTGGATTCAACTCATGGGGCAGGTGGGAGACTGTAACGCTGGGCCCCCCGGGCAGCCACAAGCAGGCCAGCTCCCAGCCCCGAGCTGGAGGATGGGCGGGCTGCAGACCCCAGCTGCCAGCCCACAGAGGCGGCCTGGAGGGAGGGGCCGTGCTCAGCAGCAGCTGGGCCTGCAGCCCCAGGCCCCCAACTGGAACAAGTGGCCCTGCCGCCAGAGAGTCACTTCAAGCCACGGCAGTGCTGTAAGGCTCAGGGACTCATGGTAAGAACAGCCCTTTGAGGGGCATGAACGCAAAGCGATGGGCCCTTCTTTAGCAGTGCCGACTTCACCTCAGACTCACCGACGTGAGCCGCACCCCACTGCCATGTAAGGTGCATTCATTTCCCGCCAAGAACAGAGAACCACCAGGTGGCCACTTGCACAGAGGACTTCGAGGCGAACAGGGCCACTTGGGGCATTCTGCTGTCACTTAAGGTGATGGCAGGATAGTAGAGAAACTGCAGTGTCCTTTGTTCAATTATAAAGAGCCACTTCTGCCCGTCCCTGAGGGCTTCCTTTAGCCATGTGAACAGGAAAGGCCTGATGAAGTGCTGAATGCTACATCAGTCTAAAGTCGGAATATTGTCTAAATTTGCTGTCTGCCCAGTATCCCAAGAGGTATGTATCTTCAGCGTGTTCCATTGCACAAATACCCGAAGGCCCCAGCAGACACAGGCCTCTGCACAAGAGCGGTCTGTTCCGCACGAGGGGCAAGCGCGGCCGGTGTGCTCGGAGTGTGAGTAAACGGGACAGACGGAGGGAGCGGAGGCGGCACGTACAGTGCGCACGGGACCGACCAGCTGAGCGGGAGCCCCGTGTGCCCGCGTCCCAGCACAGCGTGCCCTCCCGTCTGCCGGCCACCCCTCAGGCACGGGCGGCCACCTACCCAGGAGCTCCTGTCAACTGTCCCGTTTCACTTTCCTTCCAGAGAGTCAAGTGAATAACTGAAAAATGTGAAAGCGTTAAGAAGTTGTCACCTAGAACGTCAGCACATTTTCCCAAAAGGCAGGTCCGTGTGTTTCCAGGCTGCTTGAGAGCACATGTCTGTCTTTTGTTGTTTTTCATTTTTTGGGGGGCGGGGGGGTTAAAGGTAGGAAAGGCAAGGTTGTTATAAAGGGAAAAGCCAGGACTGTTAGTAAAACGGTGGATGCATCTTGGCAGGGAGTCACTCAGTGTGACTGGAGATGCCCCCTCAGAGAGCAAAGCTTCCCCAACTTCCCTCCCAATGTGTCCAGGTCCAAGGTGGGTGCATGGGGAGCCCGGCTCTGTTTGCTACTCGCGTGTGGGACCCCCTGGGTCGGACCTTCCTTTGAAAGGCAGAGCAGGGCCTGAGGAAAGTGACCAGGTGCTTCCAGGACAAACTGCAGGCAGTCGCGGCTGCTGCTGGGTCCTCGGGCTTACGTCTCGAAGTACTTGTATATCTGGGCCACGTACTGCATCACGCTCTGCCAGTCGGGCCGGTCTGTGTACAGTATCTCGCTGAGCTCCTGCGGGAGGAAGAGAGGAAGGGTCATGGGGGCCCCGGGCAGGGCCAGCGTGGCCGCGAAGCCCTCCACCCGTGAGGCGTCGGGTGGAGGCAACGCCAAGACAGCGTGGAATGTGATTGGTTAAAAGAGAAGTGTTTTCTCCTTGTTTATTTAGGAGACACCATCCCTTTTTAAAAACATCAAACATGACCTCCTACCCTGATCATATTTTAACATGGAAGCATTAAAAAAAAGTGTGAAAAGAAGAAGTCACCCGTAATTCCATTGTCGCAAGGGGGGTTCTGCTTCTCTGAGTTACCTGTGACTCCTACTCACGTCTTCAACACCGTGCACACCCTGTGTGCTCTGTGTTTCTCACCAAGCATCCGCACACATGATCCCCACACCACAGCACTGTCGCCAGCTGTCCCTTCAGTGGATGCACCGTCCGAGGGAACGGCTGTCCCTTCGCTGGCAGGCGCAATGGGCAGTTTGTGTCCGCCGCATGTTACTGACTTTGCAATGAGCATCTTGGTGCATACTGTTTCCGTCTGTGGAATGAGTGCCTTAAGGTACAGTCCCAAGAATGCAATCACCTCAACGTTCTTGAACCAATTTAAAATGCAACCATTTGTTTTACCAGAATCAGGTGTTACCACTCAATGTTAACTTAGTAGGCAGCAGGCAGGTAGAAAGCAGAGGCCAGAAAGTGCCAGGCAATGAGGCCAGTCAAATTTCCTGAAATGTATGCTACTTAGCGGATTTCATAACTCACTCACAATTGCATCTGGATTCTTCTGTGGTCCCAAGAAAACAGTAGGAAAGGACCTAATGTAGAGCCAGAAGCAGAAACGCAGTGAAGGAATAAGGCTGACCTGACTGGCAGCTCTGCTCCTGGGCAGTGACAGAACTAGCTGTGGCCAGACATCTGTCCCCTGCTTCAGTGTCATCTAAGTATGTTTCACTGAGTTTGCTCCCTGGTTATAATAAAAAATTATCAGCACATCACTGGTTGTGCAAGAGGGGTGGAGGAGTAGGTGCAACATTCTACACACATATACCTAGAAAAATTTAAATAGAGTAAGTCTTCACAGGATACAAAGATAAGAAGTCTCCCACCTCAGATATTGTAGTCAGGGCCATGCACACAGACTGATGCAGGGAAAGCTGAAGTTCTTATTAGCAGGGGAACCATTAGCATGACAATACAAAAAGGAAGTGCCAAGAATTGAGCACGCTGCTTAGGAGACCAACGAGCTCTGAGAAATGAAGGAACAAACGCCCACAGATGCGAGCCAGTGGCGAGAGGCGAGCCGCCTCCCCGTGACGCCTCCCTGAGATGCCTCCCGTGACGGGAAGGCGCCGCCCACCTCAGAGAGGCCTCGAGAGTCCGGCCCCTGCTCAGGGTGACTCAGACCCTCTCACGTGCCTGAATCTCGTAACAATTCAACTTAAAATGTTTTGGTACATTGTCCACATCATGTTAGAAGCTGTTTGAAGAAATTAACACATTTCAGGGAAAGAGAGTATGCTGCATTAATAAAAATCTGATGATGCATAACATGTATTTGAATTAGTAGTTTAAAAACCTTTCAAAAAAAGAAAACATCAGGCCCAGGTTGTTTCACTGGTTAATTATACCAAACGCTCAAGGAGGAAATAATGCCCGTTCTACACAGTCTCTTGCAGGAGACAGAAGAGGAAGGAACACTCCCCAGTTCATTCCATGAAGCCAGCACCACCCTAAGAACAAAGCCAGGCAAAGACATTGCAAGAAAACTACAGATCCATTTCTCACACTATGACCGACACAAGGACCCGTAATAAATATTAGCAGATTCAATCCTGATCCAGTGGGGTTCATCCTAGAAATGCAAGGCTGGTTCAATATCCATAAATCAATCAATGCAATTCATATTAACAGCCTAAGTAAGAAAAACATATGATCAAATCAACAAATGCAGGAAAAGCATTACACAAAATGTAACAGCCATTCATGATAAAAACTCTAAAAAAACTAGGACTAGAAGGAAATTTATTTTACCTACTATAGGAAATACACCAAAACCCAAGCATTGACATACTTACTGGTGAGAGACTGAAAACTTTCCCCTAAGATCAAGAAAAAGGAACAAGACAAGAATGTCTCTCTCTTCTCCAACACTGTACTGGAATTTCTAGCTCGTGGGGAAAGGCAAGAAAAAGAAACAAAAGGGATACAGATTGGAAAGGAAGAAGTAAAAGTATCTTTATTTGCTGATGACATGATTGTCTCAATTATATCTCTTGGAACTAAAATGCAAGTTTAGCAAGGTCTCAGGATACAAAGTCAATATCCAAAAGTCAAATGTTTTCCCATATACCCAGCAAGGAACAACTGGAATTTATGACAAACAAATTTAAAGTGGAAGGAAAAGAAGAAAAAGAAAGAGAAGGCAGAGGTGGTGAAAGAGCAGGAGTTGGGAAAGGGGGAGGAGGGGGAGGAGGGGAAGGAGGAGAGAAAAAGACAGACAAGAGCAGTAAGACCAGTATAAATCTAAAATGAAGCAAAATACACCTATGCAGGACCTACATGCAGAAAACTACAAACCACTGATGAAATACATTTAAAATCTAAATAATGACGATGCATTAAAATGTCAAGTCATCCCCGTCTGATCTACAGCGATAACACGACCCCAATCAAAATCCCAACAAGCTTTCCTGGTAGATATCAACCCCGTGACTCTAAAGGCACAGGCACTAGACAGTCAAAACAATTCAGAACAGAATCGAGTTGGAAGACTCGATTTCATGATTTATAAAGCTGTACTAATCAGGAGAGTCTGGTACTGACCAATAAACAGGCCCTTAGCTCATGTCATTTGTATTTTACCACAATAAACAAAATTGAGAAAAAAGAGACAGACGCCTTCTGGCCCTTGGCAGCTCTACAATCAGGTAAGTCACCGCGCGCCCGCAGGACGCAGGGCTGCGGAGGAGTTGTGCTCCGAGGGCCCAGAGGCGGCTCGGCTGTCCGGGCTGCGGGGCCCCCGGGCGGGTGAGAGCGCTGGCCGGCCGCCCGCCGTTGCCGCTCAGGGGCCGCGCGTGCTTCTCAGCCCGCACGTGCCTGCTGTCCCCGGGTCACGGCCCCGGCTCTGAGGCCCGCGGGGCGCGCCCCCGGGGATGCCCGGCACACCAGCGCGAGGCACACGCTCCGCCCGCGACCGGGCGCCCTTTCTCAGGTTTACAGCACGGAGGGGCCCCGTTAGGGCTAAGGCCGCGCCCCGGCCCCTCCGAGGGTCGGAGGTGTAAGCGCCTCCCGCGGGAGGCCTGAAGCCCCGGACGTGGGCGCGCAGCGGCCGCCCTGGCGGACGCCCCGGTTTACTCAGTCACCAGCAGGCACGCGACCGCTGCGGGAGTGTCCCCGAGGAGGATGCACCAACCCCTGCAGGACATGCCCTCTGGCTGTTTTTGCAGTGACAGCAACATCACAAGGCCCCCTCATGATGAGCCAGCCCGAGTCACACTGTGGCGAGCGGCGAGCTTCCTGAAATTTGGGGGACACTGGGGATCTTCCGCTTGTAAAAAATTTAGTCCTTATCAATATGCTGTACCCAGAAACCCATACTTACTTGACTGCACACATATAAGTGACTGTTCTCCTAATTTAACAACAGAATTTGATCAAAAGCTTGGGATTATTATTGCTGCCAACTCTGAATGTATTTTAAAAGTATCATGCATAATTAAATATATTATTTTTCAATCCACATCAAGATATTGAAAAGCAAATTTTTTTTTATCCTCACCCAAAGACATGTTTCATTGCTTTTGGGCGGGGGGGGGAGGGAGGGAGAGGGAGAAACATTGTTGTGACAGAGAAGTATTGACTGGTGGCCTCCTACATGCACCTGGAACTAGGGCTGAACCCTCAACCTAGGTGTTTGCCCTGACCAGAAACTGAACCCACAGCCTTTCGGTTATGGGACAACACTCCAACCCCCTGAACCACCTGGCCAGGGCTGAAAAGCAAATTTAATAATACAGGAAGTTTCTATTTTGTTGATGACATACACTTGTTAAATTGCTCACAAACATTCCTAAGTGCTTTTGAGGCTGATCACGCTCTCAGCAGCCCCTCGCAGATACCTGTAAAAACGGAACTGCTGGCTCTGACAATGAGGCTGCAGCTGGCCTCATTCTCCTCCCAGCTTTTGCTGACTTCTGAAGTGCATTAGGTGGAAATGAGGAAGAATGTTACATCAGAAAGAAGCAAATGCGAACTGTAACACAACAAAGAAACACATATTCTTGTATACTCTTGTATAGAATATAATCTCCTAGCAAGTTCTCATTGTACCTTTGATTTTCCACTCCAGCCAGAGATGTAAGTCTCCTCATTACTTTTTAAATTCTCTACATTCAGATACACATGACAGGGGTATCTTTTTCTTGAAGGTTTAGCAGAATCTGGGCTTACTGGTTGTGTCCATGTGTGTATGACTACATTTTAAACAATGAATTCAGCTTTTTTAATGGTTAAAATTCTATTTATTTTTGAGTAACTTTTGGAGAAATATTAACATTTAACATATATTTATACTTCCTTTGAAAACTGTCCATTCTGTTTCACACACAGTGGCGTGACATTGTTCACGTACTAAAATTTCTTTGGCAGCTGTACTTTGTTTCATTTCTCAGATGCCCTGCATCCTCAGAGGTTCTGGAAGTTTGTCTCACTACAGTGAAATTTGAATTTCAACTTAGATTTTCCTGATTGTTACGAGATTGAACATCTTTTGAAATGTTCACTGGCGATTTGTGAGTTGCCTATTCTTGCCTTTGACAAGTTTCTACCAGATTGCCTTTTGAAAATTTTTGGTTAGTAGAAATTATTTGTAGATTATCTGTCTTCATTTTTTCTGAGGTTATGATTTATCTGAATGAATATTTTGTTTTATTTATCCTGTTTGAGATTCATTAAGAACCTTCAGTCTTTCATCATTCTGGAAAAATTTCAGGCACCATTTCTTCAAATACTGTCTATCATTCTGTCTTTCCTCTTCTTCTGGAATTCCTACTCGACATGGGACACAGTCACTATCTGATTTTATTGTCCACGTCTCTTAAACTCTTAAGCTCTGTGATACCTAAGTCATTCCCAACCTCTACCTCCCTGGCAGGCTTCCCAGTAGAGACGCTGAAAATGCTGTGCACTCGCTTTGTCAAACTTCCCTGCCCTTGCAGGGACTGTGAGACAGAGTAATGCCAAGAAGCTGGAGGGACCCTGGAAGCCTTGATTTCCTTATCAAAGGAGGAAAACGGGGGCGGGGGGACCTGTCTATCCCTTCTTCCTCTCTCCCCTGCCCTGAAGAAAGGAGCGATGTGCGGAGCTGGGCAGCCACACTTGGCGGCAGAGGGACGGACACGCAGCTGAGGAGATGCCCACAGGTCAGAGGTGGCGAAGTACGGAGAGGCCTCCGGGTCCTGGGCTCAATGCTGAGCTCGGCCTGAAACCACTTCCGGATTTCTTTTCTTTTCTCTCTTTCTTTTTTTAAAAACAACATCTTTACAGTTTAAGCAACTGTTAGTTGGGTTTTCCATTTCCTGAAGTTGAGTATGTACTAACTCATAAAACCTCTCGATTGTATTTTCCATTTTTTAATGTTTCTATTTACGTTCTGAGTAACTTCCTTAGGTCTGTTTTCCAGTTCTCCTGTATCTAATCAGGTTTTCAACCCAACTGGTGTTTTTAATTCCAAATTTCCATTTCCAGAAGTTTTCCTGGATTATTTTTCCCAATTTTTTTTTTATACTAACATGCTCCTTCCTTGTGAGCCCTATTCCTTTGATCTCTTTAGTATGTTTAAACAGAGTCTTTTGTAGTCTCTTTCTTACTACTTTATTTTCTCTGGTTCTGGGCGACAATCCTCTCATTTGTTGTGTCTGCTGACAAGCTCAGTAATTTCTGGCTTGTGCGCGTGTCCCAACACTCACTGCGTCCTCGCCAAGGGGCGTCCGGCACCAGAGGCACCGCAGTGCAAGCTAGGGGCCTCCTGCAGCACGCACATCACTAATTTGGACTCCACACCTCACCTGGCTGTTTTCTTTTCTTATAGGAAAAAGCAAACTTCCTCATCACCTCCCTGGCCTGGCAGGTGGAGTGTTTTTACATTCTCTTTCACTAAAAAGAGCTGCGTTTGGGAGCCTTGGTTCCGCGCAGGGGTCTCAGAACAGTGCTCTTGTTCCGGGGTGGGCATGAAACAGCAGCCGTCCCTGCAGCCCGCCCGTACCGCCCGGCCCCGCCGGGCTTGTTGCGGTGGGAGCTCGGGCCCCCGGTTCTGGCTTTTACTTCCCTTTCATGTCTGGCACCTGGTTCTTCCCCACTCTTTCTTCGGGGCTTGGCTATGTATTGTCATTTTAAAAATTACATTTCATTCAGATTTCCAGGTGACTTGAACAAGAGGGCTTTCGTGCTAACTCAGTGCCCTGTGTTTCCAGATCTGAATATGCCCACGATGAGTCTGAAGGGAGGAAACACTAAATCGTAGGTGGCCTGACCGACTGGGTAATTGTGTATTTGGGATCATGACTGACACACCTTCAACGGGATCTTCGTGTTCTGTGAGGCACTGTTAGTAGGTGGCATAAAGCTCCTCCTTGTGTAATTAGACTGAAGTGTGACAAAGGACATAAAATAGGGTACTTACCAGGCTGGGTTTAATGCCTACACTTTCGGCTGCTTCAAATGCCAGCAAGAGGTTCCTTTTCTAAGTTGAAAAGACAAAAAGACTGGAATTATCAACTAAAAATATATAGCTTAAAAATTTAAGTCAAATACGCAAATGATGGTCTCAGTATAAGAAATTGACAGGTCACAATTGTCACTAAAAATAATATTATTGATTGACTCTTTACTATCCAAAATAAATTTTCATTAGCTGTTATTTTTTACTTTGTCTAGATCTAGGACACACACTCCTGTTGTGTATCAACAGTTGTTTGTCTAATCATGCTATGTCAAAATATTACCTAAATGTGCACAGTTTATGTAATCAAATGAAAACTCGCCCCCCCAACCCTGGGTCGTTGGGAGAACCACTCTTCACTTCTCCCCCTGGTCCTCCGGGTGACCAGCCTGCGTCTCTGCCGCAGCCTCCCACCCATCTCCTTTCCTAAAACACTTCCTACTAGTTTCTTCCCAGAATGAGGGCTCCCGGGTCATGCACCTCTCCCTTCTCTTCCTCGTAGCCACACGGCTAATTTTAGTACATTATTGGTTGTGTTTGTGACTTTAAATAATATCCTGTATCTCCATTTCTTGTTCCATCAATTATGGACAGTACTTCCGGACTCCACCGCATATGATAAGGAAGAAGTTCCCCTTATCTTTCCTCTACCTCATAAGTTTTACTTTTATATTATTAAAACTTTTAATGCTCACTTTTTTCTATAACCACATTTAAGTCTTCTGCTCTCTTTTAATAGGAAATTCTGAAAACTGAAAACAATGAACAGCATTTACAAAGTAGTGCGCTACAATCACGTTTCCTTCTCTATAGTTTGTCACGATGCTGTGCCACTAAAAACATTTTAGGGTTTTCCAAAGGGTTTTCTTCTCTGTGACTCAGCCGTGCCACTGTTTTGGGAAGTCCTCCAGTCCTAGCATCCCCACCTCCTCACGTCAGCCTCTGCCTAACTGCCCTGCTGCACTGGAGGAGGCTCACAGGCTTCCATCCTAAGGATGCATGCGGGAGATACACCTTTTCTGGAAGCACTCATATATGCGAAGTTCTTTTGTGCCTCCCACTTGGTTCATAACTTGAGATTGAAAATAATTTTCCCTAGAATTTGAAAGATACGGATCCATAATCATGTATCCCTAATTTGTTGCTTCTTTGTGAGACTCTTTCTGGTTGTTCTCTATTTCTTCATCTGAACAGATTTAAGAATCATTTGGTCATGCCTCCTCTCCTCCATAATTTACACGAAGTCATTAGGATTATATTAAAATTTAATTTAGTAAATTAAGTATAGTTGCAAGCCAAGTGTTTCTTTACATATTCATGTTTTATGTTCCTCAGAATCTTGTAATTTTATCCATTTAGACTTTATACATAATTTTCTATGTGCCCCTCCCCCCGCCTCCCGCAGCTTCCCGCCTCTGTCCTTGCCAGCCCACCTGGCGCCTGAAGGTGGCGGGGTCTGTCCCAACACCGTAGCGGGCCCTGGGCTCTGCAGAGCAGGTCACAGGGAAACACTGAGACGAGCCCGTGCGCGCTTCCCGCCCATCTGCTGTCTCGCAGAGCTGGCTGGCTGCTGTTGTCTGCGCACGCGGCCAGCCCCCTTGTTCCAAATTAAGGGAAATTAAGGGGTGAACTGGAAACTTTCGTGTTCCCACAACAGGACTCTCTGTTCTGTTGAGAGAGGAGCTGTAAACTGGCTCCTGGCTTCCTTTAATTTAGCCCAAACTGTGGACGGTAAATCTCCGGTTTTGGTGCTAATGAGGCCTTTGTCCTTACTTTTAAAGTCCTTTGGGTTAACTTGGGAGAGGAGGGGTTTTGTGAGCCAGTTTTTACGTCAGAAGTCAAGACGCAAATATTTTTTATGGCTCTTGGTATGTAAAGCAAAACTGCGTTCTAAAATGTCACACCAATTTTGAAGTCCAGCAGTACCGTATACGTCCCTTGTCTCACGCCTTGACCTGCATCGAGCGTGGTTTTGAAAGTCCCTGCCCAATGCGGCAGGCTGAAAATGGCATTTTATTGTCTTAATGTGCATTCTTTGATTACCAATAAGGTCTAAGAGAAAGGCATTTCTAAACCTAAGGTTTTACTCAGAACTCCCTCAAGCCCCTTCTAGCTTGATTGTACTGAAACTGCTGCTGTTTTCTAAGCAGTCGCTCCACAGAGAAGACATGGTTCGCAGTGAAAAACTGTTTCAAAGTGTCACACTCCTCTGAAACAGCATGCAGCGCGACAGGGAGCATTAGACCGTGCGGGGGGAACAGAAGTGAGTCTTGTCCACGTTGGCAGCGGCGGCGGGGCCGGCACTGCCGTCACAGCCCCGTGAGAAGGCCGCCGGGGGAGGAGGAGACACTGCCTGGGGGGCGGGGGGGGGGCGCCGGGGCAGCGCGTCCCAAGCCCCCGCGGCGGTGCCCGCGGCGGCCAGGCAGGGGTGTGCTGATGGGGGGACCAGTGCAGGCCTGGGACCTTCCGGCTCTAGGACAGCGGAAGCCCCCAGCCCGCGGTTTCAGAACTGGGCCACTGGCCTGGCCAGCAGGGAGCGGTCTCCCCTGACGGTGAGGGGAGCAGGACTCCCAAGTCCGAGGCTTCTCCGCCTTCCGCTTCAGACTCGGACACCAGCTGCTCCGTTCCATCACCCGGGTCTGTTTAGCGTTAAGTCCAAGTTTCACAGGATGACAGATAAGTCTGCTTTTTATTGGAAAATGCTGAAGCCTCCACTGCCTGTAACTCACACTCTCTGAGCGTGTAATCACTTTAATGTCTTAGAAGACATCCTTGTTAGTTTGATCGGAAATTCCCTATTTAATAACGATGTCAAACTCACTTGATTTAATTATGTCTATCTTGGTAGGAAGAGCTCACGATTTCTGAACTTCCTGGTTTGTGTCACACAATTTTTAGATTTTGATTTGAGTAGGTGTTTACAAACACAGGCCTCTTTTTGGTGCCCGGCTTGATGTACTGGTACAGCACAGACACAGAGCTCGCCAGAACAGGGCTCTACCGCGGCGGGGGCCACACGCCACTCACCTAACAATGGCGAAGGGTACGTTTCCCTCAGGTGACCTGGCTCCCCGGGGAACCTGACCGCACACGTGCCTCCTTCAAGGAGGGCTGCCCTCCTCACCCCCTCTTCTTGGGGGAGCTCCCCTGTGCTGCCTCTCATACGTGCTCCGTGTCATGCTGCACTGACATGTATTCTGAAAACCTTCATCCATGACTTTGACCTACGAGTTTCTCCCAGTGCGCCTACTCGGAAGCGTCGTGTAAGCACGCCCACCGCACAGCAGGCAGTGGTGAAAATCCACTCCATGTGCGGACGTCTGCACGGGGCGTTCAGGAAGCAGGAAGCAGGTGCTCCTGGCCGGGGGTGGGCGCAGGCGGTAGCCAGCGAACAGGGCCCTCGACTCCAGGATGCAGACCCGACCCTGGCTGACAAGGGGACTGTGACGCCACAGAGGCCTGGAAGTGGGAATCGCAGCGCCCTGGAGCTGGCTCCTCCGCCGCCTCACAGACCAGCCTTCCACAATCGGACTTCGGGCTCCCTGACGGCAGCATCGCCGGTTTCAGAGAATCTCAATCCTGCCGGCACCACGAGGACAAAGGGAAAGTGAGTACACTGAGCATCTGTTGTGCTAGCGAACATTTCCATAGGTGCAGCAGCCCCGGGAGCTGGCTGTGTGCGGTGTGTGGGGACCGCGACGGCACAGCTTCAGTCCTCGGGAAGCATGCTCGTGACTTTGCAGTGTGAGAGCAAACGTTTTACGCTCATTATTTTCCAACAGGTCCTTCAAAGAGGCCAGGTGTACTTGTATGACTGCAGACAGACATTCCCTCTCACAAAGACAGCTGCTTTGGACAGCATGTGTATTAGTGCCTAGACTTACACTTCCTACAGTTTTAGCAAGGTCTTCTGATGATTCTGAATTGCTTTATGCCCATTGTTTACTCCATTTTCTTGGCAATGCCACATGGAAGAGGCAGGGACTAGAGAATGGGGAGAGACGCCGGGGTCGCTGCTGGGTCATCCCTTCTGCCGAAATGAGTGCCGCAATCTTCACGGTTTGCTTCTTGGTCTTTTCTTTATGCCTCTGTGATAGTGTGATTTATAATAAATTCTATTTGGTCTTTGTCCACTGTTCCTGGCACAGAGCACCTGAAACCCCTGTGATTTCTTATATTAGAGCCACAGGGGAATCTTTTGTCATAATACTTAGGTTTTGTCTTTGGTTCCAGAAATGGCTTCAGAGTGAGAGGCGAGGCAGGTGTCTTTTGGAAGCCCCTGGGAACTGCGGGGCAGGGTGTTGGCTGGGGAACCAGCTGTGTGAGTAGAGGCTTGGTGCATTTAGTCTCAAGGCTTTAGATACCACTATGTCTGTCCTGTCCAGTAGAGTGGCCATACGGCTATTTAAGTGAAAAGTAATTAAAATAAAAAATTCACAATTTTAGTTGCACTTGCCACATTCCATGTGCTCAAGTGGCCAGTAGCGACCAGACTGGACAGCACAGATATAGAACATTTCCATCATTTCATGAAGTTCAGGTAGTGTGGATCTAGTCACTGATGACCCCAAATCTGTCCTTACAGCTCTCGATTCCCTTTGAACCCCAAATCTGCCATCCAGCCACCTGCACACTTCATGGACAGCTTAACATGACTCGGGACAGAACTTCTTTGTTTGTTGTTTTCCAAATGTTTAATAATCCTGTCCAGCACCACACAGAAAAGTGCCGTGAAATTTTAATACGCTGTGATGTTAACTTTCTGTGTCAACTTGGCTAGGCCACAGTGTCCAGGTAGTTGACCTCACATTATTCTAGATGTCTCTGTGAAAGTATTTTTAAACTGATAAGAACAGATACTATACTTGGTTTTAGCCAAAAGGCCGAGAAGCAATCTGTGAAAGTATTTTTAAAATGAGATCAATGTTTATATCAGCAGACTGTGGGTAGAGCAAAACACCCTCCATAATGTGGGTGGGTCTCCTCTCCTCAGTTGACGGTCTTGATTTAAAAGAAGACAGATCCCTCCCTAAGAAGAGGGAATTCTGGCAGCAGACCGCCTTCAGACTCAGTCCGCGGCTTCAGCCCTCTCCTGCGCCTCCAGGCTGCCCGCTGTCCTGCACATTTAGGATTTCTCAGCCTCCACAATGTGTGAGCCAACTCCTTAGAAGAATTCTTTCTCTCTACATCCGTCCCGTTGGTTCTGTTGTTCTGGAGGACCCTAACACGCACTCTGAAAAATTAAATCCCTCCGTTCAGTTATTCTCGCCATCAGTGCCATAACCATTCTTTGCACTTTTGATCTTTATGTGGGATAATCAAAATAGAACCTTTAAAGATATCTATTCCTTCTCTACCTCAGAGAAGGGTCCTGTCAAGCTGGACACCTGGAGTCACGGTCGACTCCTTCCTCTGATCCTGCGCTACCACCACTCAGTCACTAAGTCCAGCTGATTCTACTTCCAAGATATATTTCAAATATCTTTCCCTCTTTCCATCTACCTTGCTCCTGAGCAAGAAGCTAGGGAAATTCCTTGGCCAGCGGAGCCGGGAAACTGAGACGGAGAGCTGGGCACAGAGGCCAAGCCACGTGCAGCCAGGGGCAGCAGGTCATGGGGGGAGGCCCCCAGTGCCTGTGGCGGGGGCAACACTGCGGAAACAAGGGCCTGGCCCGGAGGGAAACCTTTCCTCCCGGAAATGACGTCTAGGCGTCCGTTGTGTTTCAGCTCCAGGCCCAGAAAAGCAGTGCACCAGGCGGGCTAGGCCAGAACCTTCTGCAGTAACAAACGATTCCCTGCCCAGTCACTGCCCCGTCAGTGGAGACCAGGACCCTGAGGGGACACACCTGGCACTGATGAATGTTGTGCTCAGACCCTCCCCTGAGCCCTCCCCTAAGGTTCCCACCTGCAAGAGGGAGAGAGGGAAGCCTCAAGACAAAGGACTCAGCAGGCCTGCGGCTCCCTCTGGGGAGCAGCGGCGCCATCTCCCTTCCCTTCTTCTCCCCGCTCCTTTCTCCACAGGCTCACGCCTCCCCAACTCTAGAACAATGGGCAGCGGCTCTCATCCCAGGCGGACGCCCTGACCCTGTCCCTAGGGCCCCCTGTTCCCTGGCCTCCCCGTGAGCTCAGGCAGCCCCGCCTGGGCTCCCGTTGCTGCTTCCATGCAAAGCCCTTCCTTGTTTCACTGTCCCCAGCGTTAATAAATGGGTCCTTGTAGTCACCTGGACTTGTGTTGTGAAATCTTTCCTGCACAGAGTCACGCACCCACACGCTACCAGCTGGCCCTCGGCAGCCCCCTGGGCCAGGCCCCTGTCCCGCAAAACTACCACCCCGGCTAATGCGTGAAGCCAGAGAAACCAAGTTATCACAGTGACAACGGCAACAGCCTCCCAACTGGTAGCTCCTGTTTCAATCTAGTTTTCTTTCCAATTCATTTGGTTTCATAAAACAGCCAGGGAGGCCTTTAGAAAACAGGGACAGTGTCTCCCCATAGTTCGGGCTCCTTCAAGGACTCCCCTCAGGGCCTGGAGCAAAATGCTGACTCTGCCAGCAGGGCCGCGCCCAGGAGCCCTGCTGCTCTGGCCCGTCTGCCCCGTGCACTCCCGCGCGCCCCGGTGCCGCAGGCAGCCGGCCTGCCTCTCTGGTCTGGACTGCACCACGGTGTCCTTGCTCTGCGCTTCCCGGCCCTGGACCCTTCCCGTTCTCTCTCGACTGAGATGAAGTGGCGCCTCCTCAGGAAGACCGTCCGGGTTCCTCCTCGGACTCATCCCTCCGCTGTTCTCTCTCCCACTCTCTGTCCCACGGCCCTCCCCCCGGATTTACAACTGCGTGTTTATTATATTCCTTGCAAGTTTCTCACTTGCTGATTGTCCCTCTCACAAGGGTGGAGGACACGTCTGCATTGCTCCCTGCTGTCTGTATGTATCACTGTGCGTGAGGCTTGGCAGGAAATATGTGCTGAAGAATGAGTGTGGAGAACACCCGCACCCAAGGCACACTGTGCAAGATGATTCTGTAGGGTGTTCCAGGTCGGCATTTGACAACCGAGCCTGTAGCTGCATCTGGCCTGTAGCCTATTTTTATAAATAAAGTTTTATTGCAACAGAGCCTGCCCACATTGCCCAGGACCACTTGGGTGCCCCAGTGGTAGACTTGAACCATAACAGAGCACCACAGACCCACAGAGTCTGCCGTGTGGCCCTCAACAGGAAAAGCCCGCCAACTCCTGTTGCAAGTACTTAGAAGGAGGCGGCTTAGTGCATGTGATATCTAGGGCAGGGTCTTTAATGAAGGACCCGAAGCCCCGGCTGTGCCAACGAGCACTGTCAATCTCCGAAAGCGTGGCAGAAGGTGCTGTTTCCCAGGCATATTTGGGTGGGGAACTCTTTTTGGTGATGTTTGTTGGTTCTTTGAAGACTTTGAAAAAAGGGGGCCAAGGCCTCCACACGGTGAAGGTCAGATGCTGTTAGGACTTTCTCTGGACAACGGGCAACAGGAACGTCTCAGTGGCTCAGTCAGCGGGTCTCCACTGTATTCTTCTAGGTGACAAGGGGCCTCTATGGGGAAGGGACGCTGAGGAGTATTTGCTGGGGGTGGGACTCCGCAGCACAGCCACACTCAGCAGTTGCCCGTACCCTGCACCGACATCCTCGCTTCCACCCCAAGTCTCTAAACCCTGCCCCACAGGGACGTGTGTGGGGGGTGCCCAGGGTGACGGGTGGGGACTTACTTTTTCCTGGCTGTTCAGCTCCTGGTACGGGATGTGGGCGGGCAGGTAGGTGTGGAGGAGAGCACAGAAGGCCAAGCCGTCGCTCCAGCTGCTGCTGAAGTTGGTAATATCGATGTTCTGTGGGGGGAAAAGCAGCGTTACTCGTCCGACTGTGCAGTCACAGGACAGGAATGAGGTGGTGCGGGAGCGGGTGTCCGTTTCCGGGTTTGCTGTAATGCAAGGCGGGAAACTACTCGAATCTGCAGGAAGTATGTTTAATTTTGGTACCAGGAATTCAAGATATGGTGTTGCCCAAATCTTGAAAAAAAGGCTTCAGGGCTCAAAACACTAGGGAATTTCTGTCTGCCTCTGGTATATTAAAGGCTCTGAGAACGTAATCTTCAAATTAACCCACCTGATAAGCTCTGTCCATCCCTGCATCTCCTGGCCTTATTTGGCCAAGGGAGACTCATCATCCCCACCGTCATCAGGTGCAACCCTGATTCACAACCGTCGGACCGAGACAAAGCAAAAACATCGTGAAGACCCACGGGGCTGCTCTCGTGGCGTGTCCCTACACCTCCCTCTTCTGCCCACAGCTTGAAGGGGTTTTCAGAAGGAGAAAACCACGCAGGCACACCCAACACTGGGGTTATGAGGGTCACAGGGAAAAGGAGCTCTGCCTTCGGAACAGGCAGGGACGCTGGAAGCTGCCTGGTAAATCAGGAGGGAGAAACCCACATCCAGCTCTGTATGGTGGCCTGTGGAGACGGTGGCTCCCGCCAGTGCCCTGAGCTCCCGGTGGACTAGGCTTATCCCAGCAGGGTTTCTTCCCGGATTCACAGAGCCCGTCCCAAATGAGATGTCGGTGCTGAAGCCCACTAGGTCTTTAACGCTCAGGCCGGCTGCTGTCGTGGCTGTGTACACGCGCAGACACAGCCTGAGGGGGCCGTGTGGGGGCTGCAGCCCTCCCTTAGGGCCATGTCTGGGCCCCCCCTGGTTTGGTCAGAGGATGCAGGAAAACGTGGGGTTCCTTTTGCACTCTTCCCACAGCCACTGGGCGCTGGGAGGCAGCGAGGTCTTCCTCCTCAGGACACCGCACGGCGGGAAGCAGGAAGCAGGCAAAGCCAGCCAAGGTGCGGAGAGGCGGTGAAGGGCTTGTCCTTCCTGGAGGGGTGAACACTGACTGCTTCTCCCTCCCTGTGCCTAAGCCACGTGCAACCCTGCCACAGCGTGATCCTCACTGCCCTGGAATGCGGGGCAGGCGTGTGCACCAGCGGCCACGGGCGGGAGTGTGAAGAGTGTGAGGTTCCGCTGGACAGGGGGAGGGGCCGTTACAGAATTCTCTAAGTGTGTATAAGCTGTAGATGGAAATGTGAACTAAGAAATATGGTGTAATGTGTTTCCTGTGAAGTTTCCTGAGGGTTTCAGAAGCAGATGGCTTCTAATCTTGTTTGGGCTTTTTATCTAGGCTTCCCCAGCATCAGTTTGAGCTGGCATGGCCCGGAAAGATGAGATAAGTCAAAAGCTTCAGTTTACAGCAAAGAAACTGAGGCCAGAGCGGGTGGTACTGCATGTCGCACACACGGTTCACCTGAGAAAATGAACACGCCAGGCACCCAGGCCCCACCTTAGGGTCTTTTCCATCAAACCTCTTCTCAATTCCAGCCGGGTCCAGGATGCCCCTTGGACCCCAGAACCTCTCCAAAGCTGGCTGAGCTTTGCAACTCCAGTTCTAGAACCTGCTTGCAGGAGTGAGCCCTGCTCTCCTACCTGCCGTGACCGCATTTCCCCAGGGGAGGCTACCTGGCAGAAAGAGACACACAGCAGTAGTAATGCCCCTTCCTTCAGTTTCCATGACCCAAGCACAATGAGATTTTAGGAGCTGCTAAGCCTCTGCGTTACATCCAAGTCTGGGGGCGGCCTTGCTGGAAGGGGCCCGGCGCTGTGTGGGAGTGAACGTGCGCGAGCTGGGCTTCCTGGTAAGCTGATCGTCCGGCATCTTGGCTGTGAAAGCCTCTTTCGGTCCGACGGCTATTTGAGGTGGCCTGGAGGCCGCTGCAGAAATGGGGACACTCTGATTTTCTGGTTTCCGAAGAGGCTTGTATGTCTAAAACAGCAGAGGGAGTCCTAGGCGGGGGCCACAACCTGCCCGGGCCGCCCGCAGTCCCGCACACTGGGACCAGCGCGGTGGACGGCAGGGCCTGGGCCGGGGCGTGGGAGGCCGGCCTGGCCACCTGCGGGAGCTGGCTCCACAGCTCTTACAAGTCAGATGCTCTGCCTGCCTTCCTTTGCCGTGTGAGGTACTCCGAGGCCCTGTTTCCAAACCTTTCCAACCCTTCAATGCCTGTGATTTTCGGGAAGGAGAGCCGCACTCGACTTTCGGTTACTGTTCATGGTGGCCACTGGGCACCTGCATGGATGGGCCCAGCCTGGCACCAACCGGGCAGCTTTCTTCTGAAAGGCCACGCGGGCATATGCCACATGACATCCAAGAGAAAGGCCTCATTTTAAACAAAATGCCAAATGCTCTGGGGTCAAGGTCAAGGCCCCTTAAGTAGCTCTCCCTTAAACGGCGCTGGTGGTTAAGGCAGTGGCGTCTGTAGAGTATCAACGCTGTGCCTGTCACTGTGCGTTTTCTCAGTTAATTCTTGGAACAACCGTACATAGTAAGTGGCACTGTATCTAGTTTGTGGGCAACAAAGCTGAAGCAAAAAGAAGTACTGCTGGAATGAGAATTAGGATCAAGCTCCAGTTCTGTCAAACTTGCAAAGCATATGTCCTGTCCGCTGTGCCTCCTTCCTTCCTTCTTTCTTCTCTCCCTCTCTCTCTTCCTCCTCCTCCTCCCTCCCTCCTTGCCTTCACTCCTGAATCTTCCCCTAAAACTTACAGCGCTTGATAAATCTTTTTCTAAAAATGAAAACACTTTAAACATGTATCTCTTATACTATGTAGGATCCAAAACATTTTTTTGATCTGCCCAATTTTCAGAAGCATTTTGAGAGACCAAACACACCCCAAGGAATGCCCAGTATTTTTTAACTGCCACATAAGAACAGTTTTTGATATATAATTATAAATGAGTAATAGGCTGAAATTATTCTCTCAGGTATAAAATCTGGTACGATCAAAGCCACGGTTGAAAAGATCGATCAGAACGACCTACACGCTGAGGAGAGGTGAGGAGAGCTCAGACGGCCTGACCGCCGGACATGCTGCAATGCAGACTGGCCTCGGCTGTGAGGCCAAGCAAAGCTATGCAAGAACAAAGAGGCATTCCCAAGCTCCTCAGGTCACCAGACCCAACATCCAGGGCAGGAAACACTTCTCTTCCATGTGACTTCTATTCACTGCATTTAAGACTTCAAACTGTCCGGACGCCAGCCTACATGGAAGGCAGTCGGCTGTAATTTACAGTATTATAGTCATTCCAAGAACATGCCACTATCAAATAAAAGCTTTACCCTTCTTACTTCTGAGTGGAACAACTCCAATTCTAGTTCCCTGGGTGCCATTTGAAAATGTCCGTAATCCTATTTGAACACGCGAGTATCAGCAATTCCCAATGTAACACAGCTGGCTGCACAACTGCAATGTGTGCGCATTTATGACACCTCACATGAGATGATGAAGACCACCCTGCGAAGCCAGTGCGAGTCTCAGCGGCTGCCTTTGCTGCCACTGTTATGATACAGGCGGCCTTGCTGCTCGCTGGGCTCCACCTGCGAGCCGGGAGGTGCCGCAGGGAGCAAGGACTGAGCTGGGGGGCAGCCATGTGCACTGCTCGTGTTTCTCACATGCATCAGAAAGGAGATGAGCTGACTCTTGCTTTATCAGACCGCCCTCTCGTGTCGTTTCATTACAGCTCCCCTGTGCACCTGTCCCGCCAGAGCGCAGGCGGTGCCCTGGACTCTCAGCAGCAGCCCCAGGGGAGGTGGGGGCAGCTGAGAACAGCAGTGGACGGCCTCACTGAGCAGGGGAAGGGGTTGAAAGTATTAAAGAAACCTGGGCTTCATCAGGGCCGGCAGTTTTCCCAGGAGGCCCTGAGGACAGGGCCGTGCGGCAGCACAGGGCTGTCCAGTCTGGCGTCGGCGCCGGGAGCCTGGTTTCCCTGCATTGGCAAAACGTCTAGGTGTGGTGTGAGGGTCCCAGTGACGCGGGCTGCGATCCAGTGCTACTGAGACAGGAGAGTAAGGAAACAGGAAAATTCCCTGGCCAGTGGGCTAGGGAAACTGAGACAGAGCTGAACACGGTGGCCGAGCCAGGTGCAGCCAGCTGCAGACGGTCACTGGGGAAAGGCCCTGAGTGCCTGGCAGGGGCAACACTGGGAAAACAAGGGCCTCACCCCCAGGGTGACCTCTCTGCCCTGGCCCTTCCCCCCGGAGACGACATCCGGGCCTCAGCTGTGTTTCAGCTCCAGGCCCAGAAAAGCAGCAAAACCAGGTGGACGACACCAGGGCCAACTGCAGTGACGGAAGACCCCCTGCCCTGCCGCTGACCCATCAGTGGAGACCAGGACCCTCAAAGGTCCCACTTGGCGAACTGATGGATGTTCTGCTGAGACCCTCCCCTGAGACCTCCCTGAAGGTTCCTGCCCTAAAGGCAGCGAGAAAAGCCTGAGGACGGAGGATACAGCCCATGCTCTCCCCCTGGGGAGCAGCCTCTGCCTTTTCCTGTCCTTTCTTCTTCAGCCCCCCAGCCCCCATTTCTTTGCCCACAGGCATGGGTCTCCTAAACTCCAAGGCTCTGGGCAGCAGCACCTTGTCCCAGGCTGACCCCCTGACCCTGTCCCCAAGGCCCCCTGTGCTCTGACTTCCCAGCGAGCTCAGGCAGCCCTGCCTGGGAGCTCCTGTTGCTTCTTCTATGCTAAGCCCTCGTTTCAGGGTCCCCAGCTTTAGCAGCTGTACCCTCATAGTCACCAGGGCAAGTGTTGAGAAATCTTTCCAACACGAAGCCAAGAGCCCACCCACTACAGCGGGCCCTGGGCTGCCCTGCTCCGGGCGAGGCCCCCGTCCGGTGACACCACCACCACGACCAGAGAGGGAAGAAACCGTGGCCGGGTGGCGCTCACATGCTCAGGGTGTGTGGGGGGTTGTCTCACTGCACTGGTGGGCAACAGCCTTCAGTGCTCATCGCTG